TGACCTTATAACGCTTCCATTCTGGAATTTGTTAAACGATTTACCGCCATTTCTATCCTTCTCAAGAGAGTAGTGAAAGATTCCTATTTTTGTCTTTTGTCCCATTCACGAAATGCATGACAAACTCCAAAGTAACTATAGTTCGCAATAAAGAAATATAAAGCACTAGAAACAATAAAATTGCCTGAGCATATAAATTTTCAAGAATAACCTTTTTGATATTTTGTCCCCTCGAACAATCAAATTACCCAATCTACAAAAAAAGCGCAAAAAATCAACGAGAGAAAGTAGAAAAATCAATTTCAGAATTTCAGAACCAAGGGAAATTTCTACGGTGTCCTGACGTTGGCCTATTAACTCAGTCCAAAAACCCGAAAGATCACTGCATAATAACCATAACGTTCATGCAAAAAGATAGACAAGAAAGTGACATTTATAAGAAGTTGATGAGCTGAGAATGTATAAACTTTTTGCACTTCTTGTAGGAATATGTAAATAAGATGTTATGAAACAAATGCTAGATTTATCGAATCTCCTTGTGTAAATAATTCAAATAAGGAAAATTAATCACACTTTGAAAGAGACAAAAAATAACAAGTTGTAGCTGAATGCCAAAAAGTTTTACCTGTGCCAGTTTTTCTGAACATGCTGGTTCTGACTCTACGCAATTTTCCTTGCTTATGCAATCGTCCATTATATATAGACAGACAGCACACTGGTCGAGCATGCTCCAATGCTTTACTCACGGACAATTTTCGTCGTAGGCACTTGGAGGAGGATGGATTATCAAGCAATTGGTACTAGACAGACAGCAGAATACGCGAATGCCAAAATTTGGGAGTTTGCTATCTACGGCATTTGAGCAAACTATTGACCAAACTACCGAAACCATCACTGGAGCACAAAAGTCCTTCCTCTTCACTTTCTCGTAGGAGGCTATAAGGAAGAATCTAAGAAACGGGCAACACTGAACTAAAAAGGGAGAAAGATGAGTTGCAAGAAAGAAAGGGTAAACAGGTGTAGCAGAGAAGATGCTTTTACAACTATGAGTATTTTCAACGCTCAACGCCTTTTAGCGTGACGAATGCATGTCCAAGACATGAAATCAACTTGAAACCTCAACCACACGTTTCTAAGAAACTAGAAGCATGTTTCCACACAGTAAAAAAACTAATGTTAGGTGAACTAGACGAGCCACAACTTATGAGCGTTCCTGCATCCTTTTTGAGCAGCTTAATGGTCATCGAAACTTTTCGACCATTCAAATCGATCTTGAGGACACAAACGTTGATTTACTTTCGAATGCATAAGTTCTGTTTATAATAAAGGAATTTGCTGCCGTAAACGTTAGCGGCTGAGCAGGACACGCTTTCAAGGGCAATATTTTAACCGAAAGCTTGAGAGATCCTACACACTAGGATTTCTTAAATTCGACTTAATACCCATTTCTTACGTATTTTTCGCACGAATCGCTGTTGACTGCGAAAAAAGCTCAGATGCTTACGATTTCTTTATATTTCGTTACAACATTCTATTGTTTATCAAAACTGGTTCTAATGCTGTCCCTCTCTGTCTTACAAGACCCTTCAAAAATGCTTTTTTTTCCATATTTCCTTGTTAACTGCTCGTGTCTGCGTTTCCTTTACAGAGATAAAAAATGGAACAATACTGACCAAAGGCAAAAAAGAAGAATATGTCCAAAATAGGCCTCCCGTAAGTGGCGATCAAGAAAGAACAGAGCAAGCACCTCTGAAGCAGCTCCAAGCACATGGTAACCAAACATGAAACATTTTGGACATTCTGTGGCGGTCGAAACAAGGCAACCAAGGACACATCTGCACAAATTTTGCTTTTTGAACACCTATTATTTTCTGTTTTTAGAGCAGCAGTGCAAAACTAGAAGTACAGTAAACAACAATATAGCTAACAGCACTGCAAAGTTTCATCGTACGCTGGTTTACTTCTGTGGAAGACTTCTGGCTCTTAACGGCAAAAAATAATTATGCAAGACAACTAGCTCAGATATATGTTTCTCTTTTTCATCAGTTTCAAGCGTTTCTTTCAGCCAATGTGGTCAAGTTTCTTTCTAGTTGGGGCTTACTTTCTGTGCTTAGCAACTCTGGAATAAATTTTGCAGTTTTTTAGATAGAGCGTTAGGTGAGCCAGATGTTCGGCTCACAAATACCTACAATTATTTTATTATAATTTTTCTTAATCACTCATTTAATATCTAACAATACCCAATTTCTTTTTCTATTTGCTCGCTAAGGCAGTCCCGTAACATTTTGACGGGATTGAAGTATAGACTTTGATACAACCACTTGATTGTTTTAAAGCATTTCTTAACATAACTTCTTGCTGCGATTCGACGTTTTAAAAACGAACTGGATAAATTCACATTGGTGAGAAATATCCAGACACTTGATTGCTGTAGATATTCAAAGTAAGCTTCAAAGTCACCTAAGTTGTGCACTTAGTATTTAGATAATAGAGAGTTGCTGAAAAGTTCAGCTAGAAAAAAATTATTTACTTCAGGAAATTGAAAACAGCGTTTAGGGTTTGCAGTATCGCAATAACATGTGTCGCTCTGACGGCTGACGGCTGTTCTTCATAGATGATTTTAAATTTAGTTTAAAAAACAGTGATGGCAGGATAGGTAAGGGATCCAGTTCTAAGTGTGTAGTAAGAACAAGTGAATATGGTGAAGGTTTAATGATGGTTTAGAGCGCCATAAATTCCGAAAGTGCGTCTCCCATCTTGGAGAACAAGGCTGTTCTAAATTTATCGTCAAAATACTTAAAGGTGTATTTCTCTCTAATGCGTAAGAGAAATTTCTACTGATCTTGATTCTTCTAAAAAGTAATAATCCTAAAAGCACACCTCTGCTTCCCAAAAATTGGTTGCGAAAAAATGAGCAAAAACAGTTAAGTGGTTGACTCAAAGTCCTAATTTAAATCTCCCCAAACTACTATAAGGGTACATCATCAATTACATGGAAAGTAAAGCGGGCAATACCGGGAGTTTAGCACGATCAGTTAAAAAAAGCTGTATGAGGTTATGGTATTTAATTGTGATCGTAAAGATTTAAGCTTATTTAAAGCCTTATTTTAAAACCTTAAAATTTTGTCCAGAATTATTAAGCTTGTAGAACAGATTTCAAAAGAACTTGTCACATTGCCTGAAAGAATTTTTAAAATTACGTGCGCTTGTTGCCTTTAATGATTACTTGTTACCCTTAGCACAGGTTTCCCAAAAGCGAAACAATTTGTGGTAAATCTCAGCGTAATTGCTAGTGATATTCTTATCAGTCACACTTTTTAGTTTGATTTTTATATACAAAAAAATCCCAGATATTCAAAGAGTAAGGGTCACAGAAATTTGCCTTTGGTTGTACCTACTGCATGTCCAGAACGGTGGCTTGTCACGCAAAATTCGTTGATGCTCTGTTCGGACATTGTTTCAGCACCATGTTC